CACCATGTCGCATGCGAGCCTGCCGAGGCGGCGACTTCTCTTTGAACCGTCGCTGCTCTTCCTCCACCTCGTTCAGGAGCCGCTGCATCCGCGCCGCATTCTCTTGCGCCTGCCGCTGCTTCAGCTGCAGCAAATGCTGCTGTCGCCGCTGCTCAAGCACCTGCAGGGCCTGCCGCTGCTTTGGAGTCGACGTGGCTGCCGCCGGAGGCCACTGCGCTGCGGCGCCTGAGCCCAAGCCGTTACGGGTGGCAACCTCCCCCCCTGCATTTGAGGCCCTCCTGGTGCTGACGCCGCTGCTGTTCTTGCTGCGTTCCGCGCTGCTGACGTCCCCATTTCCACCAACGCTGCCCGCCCGTCGGGCAGCCGGCCGGGCGGACGCAGGTGCCAGGGGTGCACGGCTGACCCTGTTGGCGGGCGCTGCTGCGGCTGCCGGGGGCGCGTCCAAAGGGCACGTCTGCTGGATCAGGGCGAGCAGCTCCCGGCTGACACTGCTGTCGGCGTTGTGGCGCGTGCCGGTTTTCCGGGGCGGCGCCATGCCTGCGCCGTCGCCAAGTCCAGCAGCGAGTGCAAAATATATGAGGCTATCTGGGCAAGTCAAGCTTGAAATTTGACAAGGGACCTCGCGCAAATGAGACTGCCCTGCCCTGCTGTGCCGGTGTGGTGTTGTGCGGCTTGCAAGCAGCGACAGCTGGGGAAACAGCGTCCGTCCCGCTTGCGCCAGGCCATGCAGCTCCGCTACGCTCACCTCAGGGTAGATGAGAGCAATACCAAGACTTCAACCAGCTAAGGCGCGTGCTGCTTATGAGCGCGCAGCATCCTCATCGCTGCGGGCTCCACAGATCACCACCAGCACTGCTCAACACAAAGCAAAGCTGCGCGTCCTGATATTCATTTGAATCTGGATTTAACATCACATGACGTCAAGAAGCGGGATAGGGTGCTGATTTTGGCGCCTCGTCAGTCGTGCAAAAATCCTGGTCTGCATCCTCCCGCATCACTTCTCAGATTTGTACCGCAACAATATCTCTTGCTCAGTATGGCAGGCTGCTTGAGGACCATGCGTGGCTCCTCTCCAAATCCTCGGCTGTGCATGATCTTGACCAATGAGCCAGTCATGCATTCATGCACTGCACACAAAGACTGAACCGCGGTAACGGTAAGACGGCAGCACATGTCGAAACAACATCATCCACACGGAGCAGTTGGCCGGCATCCAATTGTTGACATGAGGCACGGCCGAAGGGACCGCACACTGTTGCGCAGAGGCGGCCTGCTGATGCATGTCCATCTTGCTACCTGTGCGTTTGGCGACCAAACGTTGAAAACGCCCGTCTTTTATGTCACAGTGTATGCAACATGGACATTTTTACCAAGGTTGTTATCCATGCCACAGACAAAGTAGGTGTGTGGCGCCTGTGTTTGCGTGTCAACGTCGGCACAAACGACACGATCCATGCAAGTGTGCAGTCGTCAAGACAAGGGTAATCAAGCATGTGTGGGGTAAACCTGGATGCACCCAGTGCTATGGGCGTAGGACCCAAGTAGTGTACCTGCCAAGCTGCCAACAAGGCGAAGAGTGGCAGTATGGAGAACAGGGTTATCAGAATGGTACAAGCTGCGTTTTAGGGCAGTATGTGCCTGCCCAGCTTGGCAGATAACCTGAAAACATATCACGCGCGTCTAAACCGCGCACGTAAGCACTGGTAACGGCAGAAGGGGAAGCCGCGACGGCTGGGCGTGCGTGCCAATGGAGCACGGTCAGCCGCCTGCGTCCCGAGCTTGCAAAGCATTCGTGTGCGCTGCGCATGCTACAGGAGCACGGAGGGGCGCCCGCCAAGCAGCCACCACTCCTGCCAGAGTGTGCGGCATCGCAGGCACCTGTGCGCTGCGTCGCGGGTGTTGCACCGCAGTTGCCACCAGACGGGTCGGCGGCAAAGCAGTAAAGAAACAGAAGCAAAGCAGCGCTCCCTCAGCGTGCAAAGCCGGGAGGCGGGCATACACATGCATGCCACCATATCAAGTCGTTTTGGGTCGCATATAAGCGAATTGCGAGCGTGTTAAAGGAGGCCCCACCACAGTTGTTGTGTGATCTAGCACTAGCTACGGCACAGAAGCAGGCCGCAGGCTGCCGTCCGCCGAATGGGATGGGGTTCCTGGTTGCGGCGGTCCGACGCAGGCATCACCTCAATCTAGGTGGGGCGCGCCGTGCCATGCACGGCAACAGATGGGCTTTGTAGGGTTGTGTGAAATGCTGCGTGAGTGCTGCGGAGCACTCTCGGCCAAGGGATGATCAGCCCCAAATCAAGCCTGTGGATGGGCGCCGCAAACACAAGCGCGTGCGTGCGTGTGCGGCACGAAAAGAGAGTGGGGTGGCCGGCGTTTGCGCAGGCGCGCAGCTTTGCGCGCAGCCGCCGCTGACGCCTGAAGACTGTGACAGGTCCTCCCACCCTTTCTCGGACGAACCGATGGTCTTGGGAGAGGGCAGGGGCCCCATGCAAGGCGGAGCGAGCGCCTTTGGACCAAAGCCAACATCCGTCTTGAGGTGGACTGCGGCGAGCTACCGCCCCTCACATCATGTACTGGCCGGTGAAGCTGTGGTGGCTGAAGGGCAGCGGCGCCACGTGACCCTGGCAAAACTGCAGCGCCTCTGCATACTCGCTGCAGCGGCTGTGCGCACTTCCGGCGGCATCGGGCCGCTGCGCGTCGATGCAGGCGACGAGGCGCTGCTGCTGCACCGTGCAGCTGCGTGCCTGCAGGACGCGGCGCACGCGCTGCATCGCCAGGTCGAGGGTGCTGGGCGAAGTCGCCGAGGGCGAGGGCGCCGCGGCAGCTGCGGGCGAGTTTGGGGAAGGGGCGGGAAGGGCAGACCGGGCGGGTCAGTAGCAGGCCAGAACCCAGGGCAGAGGCGCTGCGCCTTGCCGCGGGCCAGCATGGCTCTCATACAGGCAGGTGCAGCACTGCATGGCGCCGCAGTGGGCCCCCAGTTCCAGGCACAGCACCGTTGTCGTGTGCGAGTGTCACGCCGGCGGCGTTGGCAGTAGTGCCCCTCCGCCCTCGACCCACTCCGTTCGCCTCGACGCTCACCAAGGTCGCTCTTTGTCGGGGAGCCTGAAGAAGGGGCGCGCGCAATACCCCCGGGCGTGCCGGTGGCTGCTGCCACTCGGACGGTCGTGCGAGCAGCGGCGGACATATCGGTAGAGCTACTTTGTAGCCGACGGACGATCCAAGGCTAGCTGGGGCGCGGGCTGGTTCGCTGATGACCTGCCAAAGGCCAACTTCCCGGCAGCAACAGTAGGCTAGAATGCTCAAATTAGAACGCAGGATTACAGACTACAACGATTCGCTGGACCGACACATGCCCTGAAACGCTTGAAGGCCCGAGAATTCGAAAAGAAGCGGGACTCTCACAGTGTGAGCTGCCAGCGGCCGCGCAGCTGAGCCCTGTTTATCATATATACGGTAAGAAACTGCGCTGCTGTTTGTTCCACATGCAAGTCGGCTACATATCTGTCCTCGAAGCCCCAGCCAACCTTGGGCGGGGCGGAGCAGAGGTGTGAAGAGCGAGATACTTGGCGGGAAGCGGATTTTGCGAGACCAGCGGCCCGCGCCTGCTGCACGGCCTACCATGCTCTGGTACCACAGCTCTGAAAGCTAGCATCCATCCTAAGTTTTAGGCGCAGGCAAAATGAGGTCAGTGAGCAGGGAAGGCCGGTCCAAGGCCAACCCGACCCAAGGCTTTGATGATTTGCTTGATTGTTCCGCAATCTGTCGTGTGCAAATAAGCCATTTGAGGCTTGTCAATCAATTAGCCATACCTCATGTGCCTGGAATACTTGACAAACTGCCGCTGCAAGATGAATTGGTTGTGAGTGCCGCCGGCAGGTTATGACCCGACGACTTCGTGAGTGGGACCCCGGACATGATTGCACATCAGCACCATACATTTGAGGGCTCACCAAACAAGCACGAGGTGTTTTGCGGTTTCAAAATTTACATATATCAGACTCTTCATGCCTGGAGCACTTCATCGCCTGGAGCAGAACGAGCCGTGCTGCACTCAATCCAAAAGCAATCACAGAGTGGCAAAGTGACCGTCATCTGGCAGCAAAACCATATGAATAGCGTGCTTCAATTGCTCAGAGTGTCTTTCTTTGCTGCGGGTTGCGTTCTGGACCGCCATTATGGCGGTTTCTGACATTCATTCAGCAGGGAGCGCCACCGTCCAA